CCTCTCCTCTCTTGCTGTTAGTCCTACTAACATTTACCAGTGGTTTTTGCATGCCCGGGTTTAATGCCTCGCCCCCCCCCCCCTCCCAAAAGCACGAGCGCCAATAAAACTTACAAACCAGGGCCCGCTAAGGTGTTTCCGGGGATGCCACGGTATTTCTGAAAGCCAGTTTGGGGCTCTAAATTGAATGAAAATGGCGCTCATGCCGTTGGGGGAGGGGGTACATTCAGGTGGGTGAGCCACTCGCAGTACCTGAGACTGAGCTTTAGGGAGGGAAGGAAAGAGACTTGTTTTTCCTGGCGTTCCTCCCCTCTCTTTGGCTAAGTCCTAGTGTCACCTACCGGCGGTTTTTGAATGCCCGGTTTTGAACGTCCACTGCCCCCCCCCCCCAAGGACATGAGCGCCAATGAACTTCACAAAATCAGGGCCCACTAAGGTGTTTCCGGGGTGCCAAGGTATTTCTGAAAACCAGTTTGGAGGTGTAACAACAAGTGAGAGAACATGCATAGTGTCAATTTTTTCCACCGTAAAAATCAACGGGCAATGATCGATTTTGCTGCTGTTGCGGTGTCGATTATCGTGCAAAAGTGTTCCCGTGGCTCGGTTGGGTTGCCGAGGCCGTGTGTTGTGCACTTTGACATTGTGCTATCTTAATCCCTTGTAATACATGGTTCGAGGTGTTCATGATAACACCCGCGCTCCCTGACTGATTTGCTTCGAGAACCTTCCGTAATATCTGAGTAGCTAGTAGGGACCATACGGTAGTGAAAGTGGAATCAGAGATCAGCGGTGATCTGTGGCGAGCCAGGGGAGGCGGCGAGCGTCTGGACAAGGGCGGACGGCGCCAGCCGCTCGCCCTTGCCGCAAGCGAAATTGTCGCGATATGCGCCACTCATTTCGCCCTGCGCGTTGCATGATCCACTCGCGCTTTTGTGACATCTCCTCGTCGTTTCGCATATAAAACAAATGAATCGCGACTTTTTCGGCTGATTTATGACGGCGCATAAATTGGTTGCTGCGAGCGGCCGTAAAACTGTCGACGCACTGATATCAGCGATTTTTTCCCCGAGAGTCACCATGATGAACGAGAGCGCCCACGATTTTTTCCATCGCTTGGATCGCCGTCGTTGACCGATTGGATCGTCAGATGACAACAGCGAAAGGGCTCCTGGTATATTGCAACCTGCCAAGGGACCCCTATGGCTTGCCATAGGTTGCTTAGGGTCCCCGGAATCATCAAATTTCACTGGCCTGCTTAATTCGGGAGGTTTTAGCGCAGGGTCCTAGATAGAGTCGATGTTCTGGCCTGAGTTATTTTGACCCTAGCCTAACCTACCCTTCTTGCGTTCTGGCTATATGAACGGGCACCTATCGATGGCAATTACCGTCCCACGAAGGGCATCTATTGGGAACAAAAAAGCAGCGAAAGCGAAAGAAACCGTCCTACCGACAGCTGGCCACTTTTTCTCTGAAAGGGAAAGAGTCTGTAGTTCCTTAGTCTTGTACTGAAAACTATGTTCCGTGAGATGCCACACTACCTGTTTAAGGACCTTTGGACCACTTCCTTTCAAAAACTTCATTTTTCTACGGTGCCGACAAATCAATTCCCTTTTGGCACGCAGCCCTTTACTGCTTGCTAAAAGCCCTGCCACTAAAACCTCAGTACTCGGCTATAAACCGATATTACCAGCCGTGAAATTTAAACGAGTAATTACCCATCGATGTCCTTGCCATTGTGACAGCGCTGTCGTTGTTTGTCTGTCGCTCCTTCTTTCCAACCGGCATTCCACAGTTAGGGTAGTGGTAGACAATTACGATGCACTAATTATGTCAACGTACTAACCTGTCTTACCGATCGATAATTCAAGTTTGTATGGTTTAGGTTCGTTCTCATCGGACGCTCAATCACTGAGTCCATCGTCCAGTCACTCACCAACTGATTCGACAACGGGTGCTGCAAGAAGTCCTACACAGGTGCCGCCGACAAGTCCACCGGCGCCAGTTGTCACCACTTCAGCTTTGTCCTCTCCTAGCGCTTCTCTTAGCTGCACTAGTACGTCCAGCACTGCACCGGTGGCATCAGTGGTCAGTACTACGCAATCGTCCGCACACGGGTCTAATGATGGCCGATGATCTCGACGAACTCATGAGCCATTTCATCTCTTTGTACAGTTCAAGCTTACATCACGCGCGCTTTTCCTCACCCAAACATTATCCATTCGCTGAATCAATTTATTGATTTACGCGTATAGGTTTGCGCGCGAAATTTAAATGTAGAGAAAGTTTCTTTTGTGATTTCGTCGTGTTTTTTCTGCCTAAAATCGTTTTTATCACCACATTAGATAGAATAGGGTACACCACTGCTGCATAAATAAGCGTCCATCCCAGTTGAAATTTTCGATTTTTTTTCGAGTCTTATTGGCAATCAGAGTTCTCTTAGGTTACTGTAGTTCTCCCTTTCGTGTTTTCTCTTTCTTCTCCTTTTCCGTCTATTCTGCTCTCTTTAAACCCCTCGATGCTTTTATTTTCATTTGTGATTCTGCATGATGTATAATTTTCTATATTATCTTCTTTTCTTTCCTCCCATGTCAAATCCATGACTTCTAGGTGGCAAGACTGAAGAACAGTATTTATTCGTTTCGATGTGATCTTTATTTGCATATTGGTTGATAAAATCGATAAATCAATAGTTCATATTTCACATGAGCAGAAGTGCATGGCGCAACCTCGAGAATTCCGAGCAAAAATTTTCTCAATGGATTGTTATTTAGGCGCTCATGTCGCTGGAGGGGAGAGGTGGATGGGGAGCTGGAGGGGGAGGGGGACGTGAATGAGCCAATAACAGTACTTGGGAATACACTTTAGGGAGAGGAAGAGATTCTTGGGAGAATGTGAGCAATTTTTGATCTTCCCCTCCCCTGAAGTTCCAACCCTTTCTGGGTAAGTCCCGGTGTCACCTACCAACGGCTTTTAAAAGCCCTCTGTGTATGACCTCCTCCTCCCCCCCCCCCCTCCCCCCAAAAGGGCATGAGCGCCGTTATTAATAGGTACTTCTAAATATGGTGACAGAAAAGATTAAAGGTGGCCTTACTGAAAAAGCGACAGTCAGCCGCTCTTCGCAAAAGACATCGATTCTTGCCGCGTTTTTCTAGGGCTTACACCTGTCGTCAAGTACAGATAAGCAGCTGAACAAACGTTGATCTCGTCGTTGTTTGGCAGTTTGCTGAGCGCTTATGGGATTTAGCAAACCCTGAAAAAAAGTGAGATCGATATCGATCGTGCCACATAAGCCTTAAAATTGAAACAATGTAATGATAGAATGTGTTGGCGGCGGCGATCGTGCGGGTCGGCGTACAACCGGAACCTCTTTGTAGAACGATGAATTAGTGTCTCTGCAACATATACACATTCTATTGTTTGTATGGTGACAGTTAGTGTCGTAGATCGAGTCGTGAGCGACGTCGCGCGGGTGGTGTTCGCACTAGTCCGCGACGCGACCGCCGCGCGCGATTGTCATGTTTAGGAGCCAACAACGATTTCAGTAAAATTGCGACACTCATCATTCGGAACAAAAATCGGTGCTGTCGGGTTTCAACCGAAAAAAACTGGTGCAGCGGTCTCCTGCACTTTTCTGATTCATCCCATCGCAGCGCT